CGTCCATCTCTGGGCTGAATAGAGGCCATATACGGGTTTGACACGTTTCACTTCGTTCACTCATCGTCCAACACCTTTCCCTTCCTTTTCACATTGGCGAATAAATTACATAATTAGATTTGCGCTCACTGCGTTTAGAAGTGCAAACCATAAGCAGATGTTTTCTCCTCCTTTAATCAACCATTTCACACACAATAATGACGTCCCAAGATATTCGTCAACCGCGATGCCTTCCTTTTTTCTTCCTTCTTCCTTCATTTCCTTCCTTCCTTCACCCTTCCTTAATTCCCTCCCTTCGAATTCGGGGACAGAAGATCTGATGAGAAAATGTCTCTGGACCCTAAAAGCGAGAGAGCATCTGGTTGCTGCCGAATATGGATAGCACATTCTACACAAAGGAGTCGACCTTCTCACTCGAAAATGTTCCCTGTCAAGGTTTTTACAGCGGTCCTACTCCCTTGGCTTACATTGGCTTCCTTACTTCTTTTAAAACTAATTGTCATTCGAGCAATATGCGTAATCGTTGTGCAATATCCATAGGGGTCGTATTTGGTCGCTGGTAAGAGGGGGATTTTGACCTCGAGAGATTTTTCCAATTGTTTTTTTTCTGTTTCACGTGTGCTGCCTCTATTGCTGACAGCACGACTGAGCTACTACTTCTAGTAGCCGGAAAAATGGTGAGCAAATGAAAGTGATGCCATTTTGTAGTTTTACTGGTGTTGACAAGACCTGACAGGATTTTACAAATCTGCCGGTCAACTTCACAAAAGTTTATAGGATGCCCACCTTCTCCCCCCCCCCTCTAAAGAGCATCTGTGTCTGCAAATGTATTTTGTGAGCAATACGTGACTAAGAATGGTTTGACCAGTGAGTGCACGATTACTCGCTTTATCTGACGAAGAAATTGCCATCAACACTTTTTCTATTGATTAGTGTTATCAGGTTGTTCAACGCAGTGTTCCCGTTCTCCCACATCGTAAACACACTTCTCTCTCGCTTTCTCTCAGTGGGTGATGTCGACTATTTCAATTGAACGTTTTTCTCATTACAGTCCTTGCTGGAGCTCTCCTTGAAGAGGCCGAACGTTTACTAGACCGTGGAATTCATCCGATCAAAATCGCTGATGGATTCGACCTCGCTTGCAAGAAGGTTCGTTTGTTCGATTTTTGTTTTTCTCTATTTTTGCGTGAACGTCGTTCCTAAGTGACCACCCCGTCGTGATCGTAGTAATGCTCGTCTTGTTGACGATTATAGTGGAATGCCACGTGTTGTACTTTATGCGTGTTATCGATTCTTGTAGCAGCTGTGGGAACGCGAGAGAATTTGATAGATTTTGTTTTCGAAAAAATTTGAGGTGGCGCAGGTCCGTTGTTCAGCTTCAGCCTTTTACATGAGTCTTGAGAGGGGGTAGGAACTCTGAGAGGGCGTGGGAGGGATAGAATCACTACTTGTCGGTTGTCGTCACCCTTTTGTGCGTGGAGAAGTTGTTTCACCTGGAGACACTCTGCACGTGGTTGCAGGATGCGAGCTCTGTGCAGCCATTGCGTCCTAAAGGCATAAAGCACGATAATTTGGTTTGCTAAAAAATAGTAGCGGGGTGCCATATGGAGGGGAAAATGACGGAAAAGCGAAGTTAAACAGCCGAAAACGTGCAAGAAAACATTGTCGGACGCATGGACACCTTTTTGGAGACGAATTCCGTTGCGCAGCGTGGCCTGCAACGCTTGATAGATAGGATGCACATATGTATTCATACTAACTAAAGATAGGCTAACGCGCTAATATCAGTTGTGCTTCAATAAATGAGAACAATATGAATGCAGCTTTGATGTGAATGTATGGCCGTTTGTGGGCGGGCAGTTGCGGTGGGCGTCTAGGTCGGCATATTGCGCCTTGCTTAGGCGCTAAACGGTGCCCTGGGTTGGAAAAGGCGCCGTGCAGCGCCTACTAAGGGGCGACGCTACACGCCTTGTCGATTTATCTTGTCATCTTGGCCTTTAATGATAAGTTTCACTTCTCAGCCTCTGAAACAGCTTGACAAATAATCGCTAGACAATTTTCAGTCGGCAGTCCAGTGAAATTGTCTTGTTGAAACGGCGCAGACGTCGTTAGGAAGCAAAGTGTAAGTGAACGTGACTTGTAGAATTACTCTGAGTAGCCCATGAGCATTTTTCAGGGTGAATCGATGTATTCGTAAGTTTGCTGAGATTGCCGTAGACGCGGTGCTATCGGTGGCCGATCTGGAAACTCGCGATGTGAACTTTGAAATGATCAAAGTTGAAGGAAAGGTATGTCCGGCTACATTCCTAAAGTAACATAACGGCGATTGCCAATCAACGCATATTTCCGCGCTATATTGCTTTAAACTTTTTCAAAAACACGGTAGCTGATGAGATGAGTCACACGATGAATGAGGTGAACATTTGCCGGCTTAGAAGAGCTGTTGCCATGGAGACCACGAGAAGGGCTCAGCCCGGTGCTATCACAAGAGTGGAGGCTTGTAGATCGTCAACGAAGATCTTTGAGCCTATAATCTTCGGTGCACTCCGGCTAATTATGCAGGAGATGTTCATGGGGAAAAGTGAATTGTCAAGGAAGTAGGCTCCCTCGTTTCCTCCTTGCTGCGCTTTGCAAAATACTGCGTGGGGGGGAGGAAATCGAAAAACAGTGAATTCTGTTGATACGGTACCAATTGGGTTCATAATCTCCAGATCAAGGTGTTCTGAGCGGGGGTGGGCAATTCTCATGAGCCGGCGAACAAACATGTACAATACGGTTTTTTAGACAGAGTGAATTTTGACCGCAGCACTCGTGTGTTTATAAGCGTAGTTTATCGCCGCGGCTGCCTTTAGATGATTCTCAGAAATTTCATAAATTACGAAGCCTCGCGTGATTTCTTGATCCCGTAAGTAGCAAATCTGCGAGGAGATTTCCCAGTAATGAATAGCTGTGCTACCAGGAAGTAGTTCAGGAGATCCGAGACGCCACATCGCTAGCAAAACAGCTAACGTTTATGAGTTGTTGACTTGGCATAAAATATTGACATCAACTTAGCTACGTCTCGCTGGATTCTATAAAGTTTACTTGACTGCCTTTTCTCGAAAAAAAAACTCATCGATTGATAAACTGCTTTTTCCTTTTCGATTTTTTGAGAATCACTGCTAGGCATGTTTACACGGCAGCATTCATACTTCGCGACTGTATCGATTTGGAAAGCGCGCGATTGTGATTAATCATGCTCCGCTGTTAGTAGGTGTACCGCTGCAAAAACTAGCTTGATCACATTCAGAATAGAACTTCCCTTTGACTCCCTGCAACACTTCAACGATTAACCGTTGGGCGCGTTCAGTCGCAGTCGCTCGACTAAGAATCTATTATGTGTCGAAGTATGAACGCCATCTTGATTACCTGTTTGAATACTGGATTGTTATTCACCCGTTCAGTGGTTCTCAAATTTTGGAACAGAAAAGAATGTCTTCGACTGTTGTGTTTCTCTGACATGAAGCTGTGAATAAAGCGAGGAGGGTGTAGGTTGCTGTATAATTGATTTGACACTAAAGAGGTTGTAGCGAGTCAACTAGCTAAGAGTACTAGCTGGCTTTGGCGCGATTCCGATCTCCCAAATACTCCCAGTTCACTAATGTCAAGACGCGTCTAGCTCAGCACATCCAAGATGCGGCAACGACGGGTGAATAGGCTTGCAAACTGAGTCAAATGCGTTCAACGACGGGTGAATAGGCTTGCAAACTGAGTCAAATGCGTTATCTTCGCTTCGGGACCCAACCCATTTAACGTGGCAAAGCTGTCAGGTCAACTAATAAATACTTGCGCACAGTGGCGCCCATTGTTTCCGCAAGTAGAGCCACCGCATGGGACTGTGTACAACCACCTGCAGAAAGTCCACACCGTTATAGAGGGTAGCGCCCTCTAGAGAGCAGAAGCGCGTAAAGGGTCAACGGGCAGGCCACAGACGAATGCCATTTGGACTCCAGCAACTTCGGCACCGAGC